ACTGTAAAAATACTTTCTGAATGGGGTTTCTGAATGGACAGGATGTGTTTTTATAATTTATTAGACAATAGGTGGTGAATTTTATGACTAGGGAATAAAGGTCAGCAATGTCAGGGGAGTGAAAACCGCCACTCTTAGTGATGGGAAACTCAGTGAAAGGAGAGACTGGTGAGAAGGGACATTGGAAGATCCTTAATTTTGTTGGATGTGAAGGAAAATGGTCTGTAGAAATAAATTCCAGGGACAGCTTTGCTTTTGCACAGCTCTACTTCAGGCCCCAATTGCTTCATCTTAGAGTCATTGAAAGGGTTCTTCTAAGTTGCTTGCTTCTTGCTCCTCAGTTAAATATCTTCACCCTATAGCTATGCTGTATGCTGCCACTTTTGTTTTTCCATTTTTTTTATTCTTCACTGAGCTCCCAGTGCTCTCTGCCATTGCTTCTAGGCTGCTAAGCATTATTGCCTTGTAAAATCCTCTTCCTTCACCTTACAAAATGTATTTTAAGTCTAGATTAACTTATTTTACCTGGTGCAGTTGACCTTATTGCATGCTTCAGTGAAGTTTAAGGCTAAGTGATTTTTAAATTTTTTTATTTTTTATTTTTTTAGAAGGGTCTTACTGTAGACTAGGCTGACCTCTAATTTAAGAGGTCTGCCTATCTCTGCTTCTGCCACTAGACTGCTGGTATTAAATGTGGGCACCATCACTGATGGCTTTTGCTTGAATTCTTTTTCCCTCTTTAGGATAATTTCTGTGTTCATTCAACCTTAGCAGTTGCAGAGAAAAAAATATTTGTTTTTCTGAGGCTAGGCTAATTCCTCTACTTACATCCTTGATACATACACCCTGTTGTCTGTTAAAGACCCCTTTTGTGTTCTTTCTTTGTCTCAGCTCAAATAAAAACAAAGCTATAATTTCTCTGAAATGTGTAAGTCCCTCACCCCTCAGATGGTTCATTGATTTGCCAACCACCTTCTTGAAGAGTTTGTGTTCGCTATCTCAGTGTCTTCACCCTGTATACAGTCCCCCAATAGTATGGTTTGTCTTGTACACTTACAATTTTCCTATTCAGATGTGTCATGAGTAACTTATGGTTTGCTTTAAAATTTATTTTATTTTATTTTATGTGCATGAGTGTATGCCTGCATATAAGTGTACCTGTGTTGGTCAGAAGAGGGAGTTGGATCCCCTGGAACTGGAGTTAAGGACAGTTGTTAGCTGCCCTGTGCATGCTGGGAATTGAACCTGGGTCCTCTGCAAGAGCAGTCAGTGCTCTTAACTGCTGAGCCATTTCTCCAGCT